ACAAAAAAGAGATACACACTGGCCCACATTCTAAGTTATATGGGCAGATACAGGGTGAATGTGGACTGACTGCAACTGCTTAAAAATACCCCCTTGTGTGTTGCAAAATACATTAAATGAGCGAATTTCATATGTTTCTTTTTTTACGTGGGCTTTTCTACCCAAATATATGAAATTGGATTGATTTTGCTAAGAAACAAGGACAAAAAACGAAGCCTAATTCCATACAATTGAACAAAAGTCGCAGTAAAAAACAAACGCATGAAAATCACTTCCTGATGTATTTTATTTTTGGAAAAGAAACCTTCAACAGATCCCGAAATAGCGTTATCTACTTCTTCTTCATCCTCATGCCCCATCATATCGAAATCTTCCTCTTCTTCTTCTTCTGACAGTTCTTCACCACTTGTTGATGCATCGTCACTGGACGATTCGCCATCGATTCGAACCATTTTTATTCGTCCACGTTTAACCTCAACGATAAACAGCTAGGCTGTTTTTTTGGCAAGGTTCAACTGTGATTCCAGGGCATGGCGTAAGTTGTTTAAAAAAGAGTACTTGTTCTGTCCTAAGTTACTTGCTTTTGCATTCGAAATCCTCTGCATTCCTGATCCGTCTGGTCCTCCCCACCCCTCCCCCTTCCCCCTCCTCCCACTTTTCCTCCCTCCCCTCTCCTCCTCATCGTTCAGCTATTTCCTGTCAAGTGCTGTATTTTTCCTCATTTGTTTGCAGTCAAGAAAAAAGGATGTAGAATTAATTGCTAATCTAATCTTTTAGCACGCCCTGCAACCCAAATAATTTTCATTCATCCCTAACAAATGAATTTTCCATATTTACAAAATCTTTGAGCACTGCCTTACTTTTTCCTTATCGATAAGTGCCCCTGAGCTGTCGTACTTCACAACGAAGCCCTTTTTCCCGCCATTCTTTAGCTTCTTCCTCGTCCTTTCTGTTGCATTATCCTTAAAAAGAAATCAAAACACATGAATGAGTTCCGATACTAAAAAAGAATCCCGGAAATTTGAAAAATAACGCCAAAGACCGTTACTGAAAACAGTTCTGGCAAGTTTCAAAGTTTTAAAATTTCCTGAACTAACAGAAAATGCACGAACCCTTTCATTTGTAAGTCGAGCTTCTTCTTGCCTGATTAGCTTTTCATGTTCTTCGCGCGCTAGCTCTTCTTCCGTTTTTTGACGTTCACTTGCGTCGCCTCTTTTATCACTGTTCATTCGAAGGTCGAAAAACTAAAAAATATATGTAAAAGTAATAAAAAAAAACGTTCAACTGCTGAAGCTCGCGAAGTTTCCTTGCTAAGTTATTGATACCCAGTTTTA